ACCTTCAGGTTCCTCGGCCTCCAGATCACTGAGAGGCTGAGCTGGTCAGAGACCACTGCTGCCATCCTCACTGAAGCCCACCAGCACCTTCACTTCACTTCCTGAGACAGTTAAGGAAGTGGGGGATGAGCAAGACAACACACCAATTTGTACCGTAATACCATTGAGTGTCCTGACCGGTGGTATTACGGTGTGGTATGGTGGAGCCACAGTACAGGACAGAAAAGTCATACAGAGGGGTCCGCGCAGACCGAGCTACCCTCCATCGACCGGATATATCTCGAGCGCTGCCACAGCTGGGCTCGAGCTATACTTCAGGACCCAGTTCACCCTGGCCACAACCTGTTTTCACCTCTGGGTTCTGGTAGGAGGAATTGCAGTATCACAACACTGACCAATAGATTCAAAAACAATTTCTTCCCCCAGGCAGTCCGCATCTTAAACAGCTCAAATTAGCACCTGCACTTTAAGGTACTGCACTGTTTGCACTATGCCCTGTCTTGGCTCTATTATAATGTCTATTGTCTAAATGTATTGTCCATGTCTGTTTGTCATTTGTGCCTGTTTTTTCTCCTACTGTTACTGGGTACAGCTGAAACGAGTAAGCATTCCAATACATGTGTTGTATACGGCAAATAAAAATCTCGAATCTTGAATCCTTTCTTTCCAAGGATGATTGTGTCCAAGTGCTGTGTCCAAGAGTTACCCAACAGAGATCAAACCTCCAACACTCCCTACTTACATAAAATGTGTCCCCTCACAGCTAAAAGATTATTTTAGTTACCAAACAGCCTCTCAACAAAAACCATTTGTGCCTTTTTGCAGGAGGGTTTGTCAACTTAGATAATTGCCCCCCTGATACATTTTCGTCAGTTTTTGCTCACTTCAGCAGAGATGGGGCTGAGAGAGGCCAAACTTCACAGCTCTCTGGCAAACTCACACAGGCCTCTCTAATTTGACAAACAACTAACACATGCTACTGGCGGATTTTCTGCTTATAACGTGACAGCTTAGCAGTTCTACAATCCAGGGCAACAAACCAGCCTTTGTTCTCCGAGATGTATTTTGTTTACAGTTTAACAGTGTTGGTGTTAATTTTTCCAATCCCAGTTGTCATCTCACCTCATCTAATAACACCCCCCTACGACCTGTAAAGAGATCAATTGCGAACAGGAGCTGAAAAATCTGCTTCCCTCATGTGCCTGGCAAAAATTCGTGCTTTCAACATTATCAACTTGCGCGTGATCCCCAAGCCCGGGCAGTGCAGTGTTTGAGCATGCTCTGTTTCAGGGTTGGTGGCGTGCCGCAGTCCCAGTCATCTGCTACTTAAAGACAGCGCGATCGCACACGATGGCGCTCTGTGCGTTAGACGCAGCGTGGCAGCTCGGGTTCAGAAGGGCTCCAGCCCCAAGCCCCACAGCGGTACTGCCCTTCGCGTACCCGGGATTGCGGGGGCTGCTGTCCTGTGCGCCCACGCCCTTCAGCTTGCGGACCAGCTTCTCGCTGCTCCTGCGGATGGACTCGCGAAGCTTCGTGAACGAGCCGCTGCGTTTGAGACTGCCCAGACCGTCCTGCACAGAGAGAGAGAGAGCCAGCTGCGTCTCCACTATCCACATCAGTTCCTACCCTTCCTCTGGAAGGGGACAGAGTCGTCCTGCTCCTGTTAGCGCTCCAGCCTCCTTCTGAATGCCACGGACAAACAGGCCCTCACCTGTCGAGAGCTCCCGTCTCCTGTGTGGAACCACATGGGCCTCCCATCACCTGGGAGACACAAACCAAGCAAAGGAGGCAAAATGAGAGGCTCAGATTTCTTACTGCTTACAGGGAAATTAATTAAATTCTCTCTGCACAGAAATTAAATCCACTGAGGGCCCGCCGAAGGAACACCGGGCTCGAGGAATTTGAAGCCCGTTACACTAGTTTTATTAAAGCTACACAAAAAGATGTCTGAAGTTCAATTAAATCTCAATTGCTTTTCTGCTGTGTCAGTAGAATCTGCCCAGGAACCTACAGCTCCTCAAACTGGAATGGATTAAACTCATATGCCGATATCCTAGCTTCTTTTAAGAAACTGCTGGATCGCATCCTTCGATAAATTAGCTTATAACTACCAAACAGACAAGATGGGCTGAACGTCCCCCTTGCGTTTGTACCTGTTCTTAGGTACCAAGTTACCTTCTACTGATCCAAACTCCTTCTCGTGGGCTCGCGTCAAGATCTCCTTGTACAGAGCCTCTGCCTGCCGGTACTTTCCCTGCTTCAGGTAACAGGAGGCCTGCGGCACAGAGCACAGACAGAGAAACACCCACTGCTCAGCCAGCGTGCAGTCACACCTGACCAGCCCCTCAGTGCCCATCTACAGGGAGACTGAACCTCCCTGCATTCAGCCTGTCACAACAGAGTTCCTACACGGCGTTTACAGAACTACACTTCCACTTGTGCATTAAAACTGAGGCAGCTATGTCCATCTGTGTTCTGAGTCCAGTACCCAAACCACAACGCTTACCCAACAGTGCCACATATACAGTCTATAAATATCTCAGAGCACACGAACAGCAGGCCTCAAAGACTGAAATCCAAATCACCCACAAAAAAACAGTTTCACTTCTGAATGGGGCACATTCATGTACAAACGCAAAGGGGCTCGTCTTGGCTGATTAGAAGAACTGCCTTCGCCCGGGATACTGGAGCTCGGACAGAACCCAGCCTGGAGCCGGGACCCCAGGAACGCACCAGGTTGTTCTTGGTCTTGGCCACGTTGGCATCATCCGGGCCCAGGCGGCTCTGGTAGATGTGCAGGGCCCTCTCGTAGTACTGCTCCACCTCCTGGTACTTGCCCTGGTTCTGACACAGCAGCGCCAGGTTATTCAGCTGCTTGGCGACGTCAGGGTGGTCTGTGCCCAGAACCTTCAGGGGGGGAGGGGGTGCAGAGTCAGTCGGCTACGGGTCAACTGAACACAAGAGTGCAGATCAACCACAGATTCGACCACAGCTGCCATCTGCCCACACACACACACACACACGGACTCTGGACACTCCCAGTGGGTCTCACCTTCTCCCTGATCTCCAGCGCTCTCTTACACAGCGGCTCGGCCTCCTTGTACTTCCCTCTCTTCCCATACAGCACTGCCAGGTTGTTCAGAGTGGCTGCCACCTGCAGAGACACACAGGCAGGGGGCGAAGCTGAGGCGCACAGGGCAGCACACGGACGCGCAAGGAGAAAGAGGTCCCGGCGCACTAAAAACCAAAGACACCAAAAACAGAACAAACAACAAACGGGCAAAGAAAACCACAAACATCAATCAAAAAGGGAAAAAAATAAACTCCACACCCAGAAAAGTGAAATGAAATTTAGAAACAGCCTACAGCAGAACAGAGAAGACATGTCCCAGCAGGAAGGCCTCCCCTGCAGAGCCCAGCACAGCGACTCAGATTCCTTATATGGTTCCAAATGGACGGAGAGCCCTTAAACACGTGTCGACCCCGGTTCCAGGCAGAGCACGAAGCGGGCAAGCTTCTGTACTGACCGCAGGGTGGTCCACGCCCAGGGTCTGCTCCCGGATGGCCAGCGCGTCGTTCAGCAGGTTCGCTGCCTCCTTGTACTTGTTCTGGTCTCTGCGGGGAGAGGGAGAGCAGACTTGCACGGTCACCGGGACAGAGAACAGAGCCAGAGCTCAACTGACCGATCCCTGGGCAGCACAGCTACCGGACAATCCTAAATGTGCTGGGACCCCTCGAGACAGGGCAGGAGTGTTATCATCCTCCCAAACTGAGCTCACCAGGTGAGTGCCAGCCTGTTACTAGACTGGAATGATAATGCTGTCTGCTGACAGTTAAACAGCATAATCATGGCTTCCATTGTGAACTTGTATTAGAGCTCTCCAGCTGTGGGTATGCTAAACTAGACACTGCTGAACCCTGCACTGTGCTCTGTCGTATGGTAGAAAGTTGAGTAAAAAACTCTTTGAGATGCAACTCATGATAAAAAAGACTAAACACACTAAATCTAAACCGATTTTACCGACTTGTCATTTGGTTTACAGTGGTATTCTTCCAACAAGCACTGCCTTTACCACAGATGTTACAGCAGCTTACAAAACCTCTGAACAAATATTCCACAGGAAATTAAAAACAGCCTCACCTGGACGCCACTGCAAGCCCAAACCATGCTCACCTGTACACCAGGGCCAGGATGTTGAGCATGGTGGCCACGTCGGGGTGGTTGTGGCCGGAGGTCTTCTCCAGGTCCTCCAGCGCCTGCTTGCACAGCGGCACGGCCACCTCGTAGCGGCCCTGGGAGGCGTACTGGATCACCAGGTTGTGGAGGGTCCGCAGGCGCGCCGGGATCTCGTAGCCCCCCTGCTGGGCCGCGGCCTCCCCGCTGCTGTGCTGCTGGGAGACTGGGGGGCACAGGGCAAGCTCTGTGAGCTGGGGGGGCGGGGAGCTCGGCACTGCTGTGGCTCAGCTCACCTGAACATCTCTGGCAAGGAGCAGTGAAACATCTCAGCATCTCACACACGCAGATGGGACCACGGGCAATACCAGCAGTCAGCAGAGGGCACTGCATGGACATACTGTGGCCATCATACAGTATGTACTCAACATGGCTTGCGTATGGAAGGCCATGACAAACAGCTGCACGAAGCTGTTTAATGTCCTCTGTTGCTGCCCACAGCAAGGTGTCCCTAATTGGTTCACATGCATGTGCACCAACCCTGACTGCCACCAACTTACTCTGGGATGGTTCCTCCTCGTCGGTGGGAAAGAGGTCGTCCAATGAGTCTTTGCTGGAGGCAGTTTCCTTTTCGTCCTGCAGGGGGCAACAGAGAACAGCAAAGGGCATCCCTGTTATACTGATGCGCAGGGCCAGACGGAGGTGCTCGTGCACAGAGAAGGCGAGTTATTTCCGCATTCCCATTTCACAACAGGAGGCTTGGGAGCATCCTGCACTCCTCCCAGGGGTACCGGCGTACCGGCGGGGGCTCTTCCTGGTCGTACTTCTTGATGCTGCTCATGAACTGCAAGTGCCGGTTCTGCTCCTCCAGGGCCACCACCTCCTGCTCCCTCTCCTGCAGTCGCTGCTGGGTGCCCGCCAGCTCGTCCCGCAGCCACTGGTTCTCCTGGCACAGGCGGCGCACCTGCGCCCGCAGCTTCTGCTTCTCCGCCTCCAGGCAGCTCAGGTGGGCCGACAGGGCCATCATCACCTGCGGGGCGGCCGGGGGAGGGAGGGAGGGAGGGGAGCAAAGCACTGGAATCAGAACCCGGGGATTTCAGGACACAGAACGCATAAAAACATCAAGACACTGTTTACAAAAGAGCAAAAAGATAAAGGAATTCCACCAGTCCACTTCAGGCCCCTGCTCAAACTCGAGAGTAAGTAACCAGGAGTTTCCCTCGATGGATGAGCCCTTGACAGACACCGTTTCCGCACAGAGCCTGCGCCACCCGGCCCCCAGGAAGCCCCCTCTACCTGTGCTTCGTCCAGGCCCAGCTCGATCCGCTCCAGCGACTCCCGCACGAGGCCGCTCTTCTCCAGCTCCAGGCCGCCGCTCTCCCCCGCTGGCCGGCGGCTCAGCGCCTCCTGCAGGCTGGTCAGGAGCGTGTGGTTCTCCCCGCGCAGGGCCTCAAGCCCCGCGATCACCTGCCGCGTGCTGGACAGGATCTCCTCCCCCGACACCGCCGCCGACATGGCGCCCCGCGGTCAGGAGGTGCAGGAGAGAGCTCAGACCCCCCTTCGTGTAGAAGCTGGCTCCTGTTCAGGATTTACACATAAACCACCCTAATAATTCATACTGAGCCGTCTTATCAGACTTACAGCTCATGGAATCTGGAATTGTTTATTGCTTCTATTAGTGGAAAAAGAACGCAGGCCTGATCGAACTCCAGATCGCTCCTACCTTGGTCAGTGTGGAAAGTCTCCTCTCACTGTAGAGAATCTCCGAGCTGCACTGTCAGCAGCCTCCACCTGGAAGAGATGCGAGACACCCTCGAGAGCAAGGAGAATAGGCACTCGCATTCAGCACAAAAACGCCTCTTCATTCAGGTAGTAGTATTTTGTGGTGCTGCCTGTTGTCTTATGTAAAGCAGCCAGGCTGTTACACGTTGTGTTGAACAAGATCAGCTGCCCCAGAGGATTAGAGCCCAGTCTTAGTTGACAAAGTGCACAGACTTGCAGGGTTGGGGTTGTGTGGGGCATTTTGTGCAGGGTCAGGTGAGGACAGCAGCATGAGTACTCAACAGACACACATGCAGAAAGCTGACAGCTTTGCTGAACCTGTTATTGGACAAACAGCAATGTCACAATGCCTGCCTGTGCTACTTCTAACACATTAGGGCTCCATGCTTCAAAATGTCCTCAAAGCCATAAGAGGGCGCCATTGGCCACGAATAACACTGACTGTAAATGCTTCACACGTCTGATGAATTGAGCGCAACACAGAAATGGAGAGGGGACACCAAACCAATACTGCAGTCCAAACAAAAACAAAAATGTGGAAAACTGACAGGTTCAAAGACAAACTGGCCACATTTTGTAAGAAATCAAACTATTTCCATTTCCATTTGCCTGTGTAAGGCTAGAGCTAGTGAGGTGGGTGCAATGAGAGATTAGATTTTTTAAAAAACCTTACTAATGGTACAGAGACCTAAATGATTAATCGTTATTAATATAATTCTAAGTAACTAGTAAATTAGCTGTGAACTTCCATTGAAGATCTACACAAAATATGCCTCTGATCTCATCTTAGAAACAATGTCCAACTACATACAGTATGAGTGCATAAGGACTTTCCCCTCAACTGGATGTTGAACGACTGGATGTTGAACAGTGTCATACAGGCAGAAGACAGGGGATGCAAAAGTGAAAAAAACGTGAAGCACATACAAGAACTCCCGTTGACAAGATTTTCCTGTTTACAGGCTCAATGCAAACGCTAATTAGACACAGGCCAGTTAATAAAACCTGCTGCTCAAGAAGAGAGGGCTGGATAACAAGAAATCAAGGAGACGTTCGTCCCTCTGTCTCAGGTGCGTGCCTGAAGGGCCCCAGCAGGAAACAAAGCGCTCGGCGCGAGTCCTCTCTGGCAAGAGGGATTTGAATGACAATGACAGGCTCTTTGAAAAGGTGCCTTAAACTGCAGCACTCGGAGGTATCCGAGCACAGGCAAAGTTATGCAAAATGCTTGCTGGTATCACACCCTCAGAGTACCGAGCTCCGAGAGCCGACTGCACAGGACTTGTTTCCAAACACAAACTCAAGAACATTACCGGGCTGAGGAATACCGCTTTCCTGATCTGATCTGAGCCCCTGTGTGGGGGGCAGCCCGGATGAGGACAACAGGGCCAGATGCCCTTCGTCAGTGCTCTCTCTTGTGCAAAGCTGGTCTGCACAAGTACAGCCCCAGACAAGGAATTCAACAGCAACATCAGCTGCCAGCCCCTGAACAAAGGCTGTACAATTGCCTATTGCAATGAATACGAAGAGCTCCGAACCTTTTGTCAACCGGCCCCAAGAGAAAGGAGTGGTGGGGAGAGGCTGCACACAGGACAGAGCCCAGAGCCACAGACACATATTCACTCCTCTGCTCTGTACTTGTGAAAACAGAGGCTCTAAATTTCAGTAGTCTGAGGTGGCTTGAATTTCCAGGTGCAAGTGAGTTCAATGGCTTTTTTCCCTTCCACTTAGCACAGCAAATCACTCGCTTTACAAACAGAAAATCAAATCCCAAGATGAAAAACAAAGATGTACCTGAATACCCTGATTGAGAAAAGAGTCACTCACCAACAGGGTCTGTGTGGGTCGTAATGCCCCAATATAGTGATGGGGACTCTCCAGAGTTCAGATGAGACATAAAACCAAGGTCTTGACTCTCTGTGGTCATTAAAAATCCCAGGGCTTTTCTTGAAAAGAGTAGGGGTGTAACCCAAGCGTCCTGGCCATATTTCTCCCTGGCCTTTACCCATCATGACCTCTTAATAATCCCCATCTATGAACTGGCTTCATTACTCTCCATTCCTCCCCACTGAGAGCTGGTGTGTGGGGAGCGTACTGGTGCACTATGGCTGCCATTGCATCATTCAGATGGGGCTGCACACTGGGGCTGGTGGAGGGGATCCCCATGACCTGTAAAGTGCTTTGAGTGGAGTGTCCAGAAAGGTGCTATATAAGTGTAAGCAATTATTAATTATTAATTAATACCAACTACTGAATCATTTCAAGTGCCCCTTCAATATTAACATCCTCCCTTTTCCACTAAGATCTGCAGTCACTGTAAGTTTTTTGCTCCACCAGGCTTTGGCTAAAAGAAACGCACAGCTCGTCTGCGTCTCCTTGAACAAGGTCAGCAGAAGTCAGTTTCGTTAGTCTTCCCTTTGACTCATTGTCAGAGAGCCCCTTACTCCTGGGAAGGATTGTGGAAACCTGGAGCCCGTCCTGAGTGGCGCACACACAGGGACAAGGTAGAGGTCCAGGTTTACCTGTCCTGTGTGTCTTGTGAAGGTGAGAGGGTTCCAGAGCATCCGGAGAAAACCCACACTGACTCAGGGAGAATAGGCAAGCTCCACACGGAAGGAATCAAACCCAGGCCAAAGATCTGCCTCACAGCTCCTCAAAAAGAGCATAATACTAACACCAGAGCAAATCATATTTTTATTGTTCTTACACATTTCCTTAACCCGAACTCCCAACATTGTCACAATCTGTTGCTTTTTCTTGTTTTCACACACAGATATATAAATCTTACTTTTCAAATACTGGACAGAATCTTATTCTCGGATATAAAAGCCTAGTGGAGAATCCAACCGTATAGACGTGAATAGAAGCACATCTAAGCAAGATGTAAACACACTCTTTGTAAATGCTTTTGGACGCCAGTAGATCAACTGTAGATTATCCTGTAAATTACATCATACCTTATCAAATGCAAACTCACATTAGGAGGAGGGAGGATCACTGTCAGATACAAACACAATTCATTGCATGAGAGCATTCAACTTTAGCGCTTCTCGTCACGACAGCAAGGAAACTAAGCAGACGCGAGGAGCTGTCAGTTCGACACACAATTACGGGAATCGATACGAACATCTTGTCAGACGTAATATTTACCTGTAACTAATCCTGGTCTCCCCCGGTACTCCGAGTGTTTACGCTCATGGGATCGTTTAAGGAATGGAGCTTTATTTTGCATTGAAATTACCATAAAAATAACACAACCTCATTACGAAATAGACTTGCTATAGGACCGGAACGTTGACGGGCGTCGACAGCTGTTATATTGCGTGGAAATAATCCTGGCAGTCATTCACCTGTTTTTTTGCGGCTCAGACTGTATTATTCTAGCAAGCTTACCTGACATGAGCATACCCATCATGCACAACGGCTGCTGAAGATGCCATCTTGGTAGAGGAGGGCCATCTGTTGCTGTATTAAAAGGATGAAGGAAGGGGGGGTTTGAATGTATCATTACGTGTATAAACTCAAACCTATGGCTAATTAATGTCACAGTTTCTGTTTTTATAGCAAGTTATTACAGAGAGTGGAATATTTGCTTCATAGTACTCTAAACGTGTATGAACAATAGTTTTAGGTGCTCAACGGTATCTTGGTTAAGAATTCCTTCTAAATTACTTCTTCGGCTAGCGAGTCTAGGCGTCGCCATATTTGTGAAGGGGAGCACAGTCTTATTGCAGGAAAGAATACCACCTAATCTCATGTAGCAGCTGTCACAAGTAATACTGCTTAACAAAAACAAAAACACAGAGTAAATATATAAAATTAACATTTATAACACCTGCAGAATGATTTACTCCACAACCCCAGAATAATACTTGACTGAATAATAATACAAATGAAGCCCTGGATTTTTACGGGAGATAAGTTACGGGTTAATACGGTAACTCGCTGAGCAAGGCGAGTGACCCAAATCTGCTTCATGGCTGAAGGCAGAACAGAGAGCGCCTGGCCGAGCCGAGCCGTGCTGATGGGTGAATGACGTCACCAGAGAGCGCAACGGCGTGCTTAAGACGTCAACAAGAAACACACCGCGATATAATGGCCCTCAGCCCCAGCTTGTATTTACAAGACAGAACGGTCCTGCAGGAAGTACGCAGGGAAGATGTCACGACATTGTTTCCACGGAAAAATAATTCCCTAGACAGGGGTATTCCGGCAGAAACCTCAGAAGTCTGAAGAAGCAGGATTTTGTTTATTGTTGTTTGTTTATACTCGCTTATCCTTTTGAGGGTGACATGCCAACTTCCACCACAAGGAGGCGACAGTGTTTATTTGTCTTGAGCAGCGAGTGATAAGACATCCAGCGATCACTTATCTTCGTCTGAATGTTTGAAGTTGAGATAAGCGGCAATTACCTTGCCCGCTATATCAAGACAGTGATGTTTTGGCGAGATAAATCTCTCAAAACACACGTTAAATAATGAGAGAATATACATGGGATGTGTGCAAATACAAATCTGCATGCACACAGAAACGCCAAAACGAAACGCCGAACCACAGCTAGCAATAAAATGATCAAAAAGCAACAACAACAAAAAAAAAGCACTGAATTCTGAAATCAGGTCCAGTTTTGCAGCAGATCACCCAGCACGATTGTAATCTAGCAGGATCAGTTAACCCCTGCTAACCTGATCCTGGCTTATCCCAGAAGCTCAGCCAGGCCTGACTGGGTCAGTACTGCCCTGAGATGGGAGAACTCAAGGGCAGAGATTCTTAACCACAGCCCTGAGGGTCACAGAAACCCCAGGCCCTTAATCACTGGCCCCAGCATGTAATGGGTCATCTTGCTTGTTTTTCTTTTTTTTTCTGCACTCCATCCTTATTTCCAAGAACATCAGCACACAAAACTTTATGCAGTCTCTCCTCAGCTTTCTAATGAGGAATTTGCTTCCATAGTGCAGACTGAACCGCTCCTAGTAGCTGATCAGTTGAGGAACAGATGCAGGTGCGAATGACGCAGAATCAGTGACATAGACACGCCCACAACAGGAATGATACTTTGCCGGACACGCCCACAACAGGAATGATCCTTTGACGGACTCACCCACAGCGGGAATGACCCCGTGTCAGACACGCCCACAACGGGAATGACCCCGTGTTAGACACGCCCACAACGGGAATGACCCCGTGTCAGACACGCCCACAACGGGAATGACCCCGTGTCAGACACGCCCACAGCGGGAATCATGCCGTATCAGACACGCCCACAGTCGGGTTCATAGTATCAAACACTCGCATAACGGGGATGACACCGTTTTAGACACTCCTACAGTGCGAATAACATTTTAGCAGACACGCCCACAGTGGGGAATGACCTTGTATAAATCACGCCCATAGCGGAAACGACGCTGTATCGAACACGCCCACAGTGAGTCAGTGCTTTTCCTTCTGCTCGACCCCAAATGGGTCCATTTCAGTTCACACACCTGAATGTTATATGAATAGGCACCCGTTGATTACATATCTTTCAGGTGTGTGAGAGCTGAAATACATTTTAAAAAACTCAAATACAATAGAAAATTGAGATCCATGAGAGTGTGATTAAGATATTGGCTGGAGCAGAAACCAGACAGCACAGCCAGTACTGGAGCAGAGAATCAGGGACTGCTCTGGGGAAAACCAGGTTTCTGTTGTAAGTGGTGTTGGTTGACCAGTAGGTGGCGCTCATTCCAAACTAGTGCCCCAGTACAGTACAGTACTAAACAGAAAGAGGACTCTGTGTTGTAGGAGGTAGTACCCTCTGGTGCTATCTGCACCTTATTCTAAGGTCCTCGATACCTGCTCATTAAAGATCCCTTTAATGCTAGAGTAGAGGTGTTAACCTTGGTGTCCTGGCTAAATTCAACCCTGGGCTTGTACAAATCTGGCCTCCCAGAGGTTTCCCAATAATTAAATGCTGCATCAGTTTCTGTCTCCTCCCCCTGGTCTGTGTGCTGTGGGGCTGCTGTGTGTCACCCAGGGGGGGAGAAAGCGAGTCTCCTGTATATGGAAAGCACTCTGGGACTCTCTGGAATAAAAAAAGATAGGTAAATCCAATTATTCTTACTATTCCACTTACCCATAATACAGAATTGTATAATTATGTTGTCATGAAGAAGGTTTCTGATCCCTATAGACTATCGTTGTCTTGAGTAGATGCCTCCAGCGCCTCAGGGATATTGGTGGTGATTACCTGATTATTCGTTAGCTCACCTTCATATCAATCTTCTGCTGCAAGCTGGCTGTGTCCTGTTGTTACACTAGTGGCACAGCACTTTGAGATGATCAGGAACAAGAGGTTTATTCTATGCTGAAAAGAGAAGAAAGAAAACACAACGTTTCAGCCGTGGAGCCATGATCAGGTGTGTTTTCTTTCTTCTCTTTTCAGCAGGGAATAAACCTCCTACTTGTTCCTCTGCAGCCGACGTGTGCTGACAGCTACCCACCTGAACTACTTTGAGATGATGCTCACAATGGAAGGGGAATTCTGCAAAAGAAATATCAACAGTAATTTCACTGAAATAATATTGCAGCAAAATTACTCAATGTTTCAGATTGAGAATCACCTATTCATTTTTTTTAGGTTAAACTATTGTTTTCCACATCAGATCAAACTAGGTTCTCCAAAACAATGTCCATAAAGGTAACTTTAAAAATGTTTCTCTTTTGTAGGAAGGGTTGCAGACAGTGCTAATTAAACTTCTGTCATCATGTATTATCCTACCCACAGTTTGTAAACAACAGCAATTAACTGTAAAAGGTATGATTAATGTAATTGCTGGTTGTCCAATTAATGTATACAGTAGTGTAACACACTGTTCCATTGCTCAGGCTGTGCTGGCTCTGTCTGCCTCTAATTTTACTGCTCTGCTTTAGGAAGGATCCTCTCTGGAGACTGAGATTCTCTGTCATCACTCTTCCATATCATCACAATTTTGAACAATTACCATTCGCGATCACAGTCTCCAGACTCCAGTGGAGTTTGATCCATCTGTCCGTCTGTTTGTGTGTTTTCTGTTTTGTAAGGCTTCAGGTACAGTGGCACCCAGGCGGGCAATTAAACAGAAGCTCTCGTGAAATTTTCATGATGTAACAAAGACACGCATGGATAATGTCTGCATTTAACGGACGTCAGATCTCAGAAGCTCTGTGGGTTGAAATGGCAGCCAGGGAGACAGCAAGGATTCTGAAGGGTTGTGCACACTGTGCAACAGGCTACAGTGGTAACACCAGAGCCGGAAGAGAGAGGGCAGAGTCACACGAGCAGGCTGACAGTCGGGAATACTGTAGGACACAGGGAGATCCAAGAGCGGCAGAACAGAAGAGCACAGGTGGGAAAGGGGGAGAGAGAGAAGGGAACAGAAAGACAAGCGCTGAGCGAGAGAGGAGCCCCAGGACTGAGGCAGGAATGAAGGAAAGCTGACAGAAAGACTTGTGAGAAGGACAGGGAAGGGGGGTATAAAAAGAGATCACAAGGAAGTGCGGCAGAGAGAGATGGAGAGACTGACGGTGCAGGCAGTTACACAAGCAGGCTAATTTACAGCACAGCTGGCAGGCTGCATGGTGGGGCAGTCAGGCCGTATAAGGACAGCAGGACAGCGCATTCCTGACCTCGGAGTGTCCCAGGGCCCGGGGCCTCAGCGCAGGTGTGTATATGTGCGTGTGGGGCAGGGCGGTTCGTGATCTCGCAGTGCTGTCTGACCCCTCGCCAGGTTACCCCTCCATTCATTGACAGTAACCACTCTGTCCTTAGACCCTGCTGGCATTGGGCACAAGGCAGGACCACACCCTGCCTGTCACTGGGTACGCGCACACACACACGCACGCACGCACGCACGCACGCACGCACTAGAGAGGCCAGGTGACCCTGACAGCATGTCCTTAGACTGGGGGAGGAAACCAGAGCCCCCAGAAAAAAATCCTCACAGACACTGGGAGAACATGCAAAGTTCAAGAGGAACTACAAAAAGAACCCCAGTTCAGAACTGAATCCAGACCTTTACCAGGACAGACTCCAATTAACCTTTTATTTATATGGGACACTTCGCATATTTTGGCCTCTGGCAGAGGACTGAGAAACCCAGGAACCCAGACCCCAGTAGCTAGAAGTGGAAAAATCAAGTCTTGGCCTGCAGGACAGACTTTGAGCTCTATTCCCTAAAGGGCGGCAATGTCCGTCCACTGCTTCATAAAAGGGCAAATTGTGGCTTATTGTTTTCAAGCCAGTGGGAAAGCAGGCTTCAGCATCTTTTACAGAGGACATGCTGAGCTATGCAGAATGCTCGCGATGGGTCCAGGAGAGCTCTGATAGCCATACTGGACACTCTCCCCCACTCTTCCTGTCAAACGAG